TCTTCTTTACTTTGAAAAGCCTTTCAAATAAGCAGCAATTATTTTTTACTTCATAGGCACTTTAAGGAAGATACCCCCTTTTACGATTAACCTTGACTCACGAGTATCATGAAAAACTTCTAGTAACTGCGCCATCACACGGTTTAAACTGGACTGATAAAATGCTTCTGGTATTTGCTTCAAACTATTTTTTTTTATTTTAAGAATGTATATGTTTTGTTCCCAGGCTGAATATTCTTATGTTCTACCTACTGTGATTGGCTACCCGAGTGAGCAAGATGACGTCATCTGACTTGCCAGAGATTACGTGCTTTGTCCCACACTGTGTCCCTCTACCTTGCATTTTTAAGGACCTCGACTTCGTTTCGGTCCATAAAGAAGCAAATCAAGAACTTGGTCAATATCTAGCCATATTGACCTCACGCCTAGTCAATAACCCATGTACAGTTGGACCCCACCTATTCTAACTCAGTTATTTCGAATTCCTCGTTATTTCGAACTTAAGACCCTATCAGTTATTTCGAACTCCCGCTATTTCGAGCAATTTTGCGCTTCCCTTGAGAGTTCGAAAAAGCGGGGTTTAAATGTAAGTAAGTAAACAAATGCACCTTATACATGCACAAATACTGAGCGGAATAAATGGAAATGTGTGGCTCTCGTAAGCTGCTATTGTTTTATTATTGTAGCAGCTGTTATTGTTCAGATGACTCGCACCTCTTTAAAACTTCTATTTTGATTCGTTCTTGTTAATCTGCACCTCTTTTGTTTTTAGGGTTAGGGGCATTGTTTGTGTTGTATACCTATTGTTTCGTTTGGCCAATCATGAAGACCCTTGCAAATGGTTCAGGTCGGCCCTTATTGTTTTAAGGCTGGGGGCACTGATTCTGTCGTTTGTTCTATTGTTCCCTGGAAGGGTATCGAACCATTCATGAGAGACCTAACGAGAGCATGGAATATATGTCAACGTGGCGCCCGAAAGGCTAACGGGTTATATGACCTGCGCCTCAATGCTAATTGTTCCTCCGTTGAACTAACGTAACGACCTCTGTCAATAGGTCGCATGCATTCCTAAAAGAGATCAGACACTTCGACAAAGTACGGTAAGTTCCGTTTGTTGTAAAATTTAACAGTACTACCAGCTAGGAAACTATCAGGTTATTTTCGGTTCGGGGGAACAAGGCAGCTTTCATTGTGGCATGAAGTTTATGTCTTACTAAAAGTACCTTCTCCAATTCAGTTTAAAATTTAAATTGTTTTCGGTTCGAAGGGACAACAAAGTCAAACTTACATTGTGGCATGGGATTCTTGTCTTACTAAAACCGGTACCTGTTCTTGTTCGGTTTATAAAATTTAAATTGTTTTCGGTTCGGAGTACAACAAACTTTTGGCAAAGAATTCCTGTCTAAAACTTGTCCTGTTCGTTCTGTAAAATTTGATAGCTTAAGGCTACTTTCTGACATATTTTGACACCCGAAAAGCAGATCCGGAAATTATCTACCAAAATTGAAATATCTAAAGTTTAAAAGTTTTAATGTTAGGATCGCTTTTACAGTGGAGTGGCAATGGGCTCACCTTTGGGACCCCTTATGGCAGACGCATTTCTCTGCTCCATCGAAGAGAAATTAGA